ATAGGGTCAACTTTAAATCTTTGAGAAAGAGCCAGTATGATAGGATCAACGTTAAATCTTTGAGAAAGTGCCAGTATGATAGGGTCAACATTAAATCTTTGAGAAAGTGCCAGTATGATAGGATAACGTTAAATCTTGGAGAAAGAGCCAAATATGATAAGGGGCAACATTAAAATCTTTGAGAAAGAGCCAGTATGATAGGGTCAACATTAAATCTTTGAGAAAGAGCCAGTATGATAGGATCAACATTAAATCTTTGATAAAGAGCCAGTATGATAGGGTCAACATTAAATCTTTGAGAAAGTGCCAGTATGATAGGGTCAACATTAAATCTTTGAGAAAGAGCCAGTATGATAGGGTTCAACATTAAATCTTTGAGATAGAGCCAGTATGATAGGGTCAACTTTAAATCTTTGAGAAAGAGCCAGTATGATAGGGTCAACATTAAATCTTTGAGAAAGAACCAGTATGATAGGGCAACATTAAATCTTTGAGAAAGTGCCAGTATGATAGGATGCAACATTAAATCTTTGAGAAAGAACCAGTATGATAGGGGCAACATTAAATCTTTGAGAAAGTGCCAGTATGATAGGGTCAACATTAAATCTTTGAGAAAGAGCCAGTATGATAGGGTCAACATTAAATCTTTGAAAAAATGCCAGTATGATAGGATCAACATTAAATCTTTGAGAAAGTGCCAGTATGATAGGGTCAACATTAAATCTTTGAGAAAGTGCCAGTATGATAGGGTCAACATTAAATCATTGAGAGAAAGAACCAGTATGATAGGGTCAACATTAAATCTTTGAGAAAGTGCCAGTATGATAGGGTCAACATTAAATCTTGGAGAAAGAGCCAGTATGATAGGGGCAACATTAAGTCTTTGAAAAAGTGCCAGTTGATAGGATCAACTTTAAATCTTTGAGAAAGAACCAGTATGATAGGGTCAACATTAAATCTTTGAAAAAGTGCCAGTATGATAGGGTCAACATTAAATCTTTGAGAAAGAGCCAGTATGATAGGGTCAACATTAAATCTTTTGATGAAAGAGCCAGTATGATAGGGGCAATATTAAATCTTTGAGAAAGTGCCAGTATGATAGGGTCAACATTAAATCATTGAGAAAAAGCCAGTATGATAGGGTCAACATTAAATCTTTGAGAAAGAGCCAGTATGATAGGGTCAACATTAAATCTTTGAGAAAGAGCCAGTATGATAGGGTCAACATTAAATCTTTGCGAAAGTGCCAGTTGATAGGGGCAACATTAAATCTTTGAGAAAGAGCCAGTATGATAGGGTCAACATTAAATCTTTGAGAAAGAGCCAGTATGATAGGGTCAACATTAAATCTTTGAGAAAGAGCCAGTATAATAGGGTCAGCATTAAATCTTTGAGAAAGAGCCAGTATGAATAGGGTCAACATTAAATCTTTGAGAAAGAGCCAGTATGATAGGGTCAACATTAAATCTTTGAGAAAGTGCCAGTATGATAGGGTCAACATTAAATCTTTGAGAATGTGCCAGTTTGATAGGGTCAACATTAAATCTTTGAGAAAGAGCCAGTATGATAGGGTCAACATTAAATCTTTGAGAAAGAGCCAGTATGATAGGGTCAACATTAAATCTTTGAGAAAGTGCCAGTATGATAGGATCAACATTAAATCTTTGAGAAAGAGCCAGTATGATAGGGTCAACATTAAATCTTTGAGAAAGTGCCAGTATGATAGGGTCAACATTAAATCTTTGAGAAAGAGCCAGTATGATAGGGTCAACGTTAAATCTTTGAGAAAAGAGCCAGTATGATAGGGTCAACATTAAATCTTTGAGAAAGAGCCAGTATGATAGGGTCAACATTAAATCTTTGAGAAAGAGCCAGTATGATAGGGTCAACATTAAATCTTTGAGATAAAGCCAGTATGATAGGGTCAACTTAAATCTTTGAGAAAGAGCCAGTATGATAGGGTCAACATTAAATCTTTGAGAAAGAGCCAGTATGATAGGGTCAACATTAAATCTTTGAGAAAGAGCCAGTATGATAGGGTCAACATTAAATCTTTGAGATAGAGCCAGTATGATAGGGTCAACTTTAAATCTTTGAGAAAGAGCCAGTATGATAGGGTCAACATTAAATCTTTGAGAAAGAACCAGTATGATAGGGCAACATTAAATCTTTGAAGAAAGTGCCAGTATGATAGGATCAACATTAAAACTTTGAGAAAGAACCAGTATGATAGGGGCAACATTAAATCTTTGAGAAAGTGCCAGTATGATAGGGTCAACATTAAATCTTTGAGAAAGTGCCAGTATGATAGGGTCAACATTAAATCTTTGAGAAAGAGCCAGTATGATAGGGGCAACATTAAATCTTTGAAAAAATGCCAGTATGATAGGATCAACATTAAATCTTTGATAAAGTGCCAGTATGATAGGGTCAACATTAAATCTTTGAGAAAGTGCCAGTATGATAGGGTCAACATTAAATCATTGAGAAAGAACCAGTATGATAGGGTCAACATTAAATCTTTGAGAAAGTGCCAGTATGATAGGGTCAACATTAAATCTTGGAGAAAGAGCCAGTATGATATGGGCAACATTAAGTCTTTGAAAAAGTGCCAGTATGATAGGATCAACATTAAATCTTTGAGAAAGAACCAGTATGATAGGGTCAACATTAAATCTTTGAGAAAGTGCCAGTATGATAGGGTCAACATTAAATCTTTGAGAAAGAGCCAGTATGATAGGGGCAACATTAAATCTTGGAGAAAGAGCCAGTATGATAGGGTCAACATTAAATCTTTGAGAAAGTGCCAGTATGATAGGGTCAACATTAAATCTTTGAGAAAGTGCCAGTATGATAGGGTCAACTTTAAATCTTTGAGAAAGAGCCAGTATGATAGGGTCAACATTAAATCATGGAGAAAGAGCCAGTATGATAGGGGCAACATTAAATCTTTGAGAAAGAGCCAGTATGATAGGGTCAACATTAAATCTTTGAGAAAGAGCTAGTATGATAGGGTCAACATTAAATCTTTGAGAAAGTGCCAGTATGATAGGGTCAACATTAAATCTTTGCGAAAGAGCCAGTATGATAGGGCAACATTAAATCTTTGAGAAAGAGCCAGTATGATAGGATCAACATTAAATCTTTGAGAAAGAACCAGTATGATAGGGTCAACATTAAATCTTTGAGAAAGTGCCAGTATGATAGGATCAACATTAAATCTTTGAGAAAGAACCAGTATGATAGGGTCAACATTAAATCTTTGAGAAAGAGCCAGTATGATAGGGTCAACATTAAATCTTTTGAGAAAGTGCCAGTATGATAGGATCAACATTAAATCTTTGAGAAAGAACCAGTATGATAGGGTCAACATTAAATCTTTGAGAAAGTGCCAGTATGATAGGATCAACATTAAATCTTTGAGAAAGAAACCAGTATGATAGGGTCAACATTAAATCTTTTGAGAAAGAGCCAGTATGATAGGGTCAACATTAAATCTTTGAGAAAGTGCCAGTATGATAGGATCAACATTAAATCTTTGAGAAAGAACCAGTATGATAGGGTCAACATTAAATCTTTGAGAAAGAGCCAGTATGATAGGGTCAACATTAAATCTTTGAGAAAGTGCCAGTATATGATAGGGTCAACATTAAATCTTTGCGAAAGAGCCAGTATGATAGGGCAACATTAAATCTTTGAGAAAGAGCCAGTATGATAGGGTCAACATTAAATCTTGGAGAAAGAACCAGTATGATAGGGTCAACATTAAATCTTTGAGAAAGTGCCAGTATGATAGGGTCAACATTAAATCTTTGAGAAAGAACCAGTATGATAGGATCAACATTAAATCTTTGAGAAAGTGCCAGTATGATAGGGTCAACATTAAATCTTTGAGAAAGAGCCAGTATGATAGGGTCAACATTAAAATCTTTGAGAAAGTGCCAGTATGATAGGGTCAACATTAAAATCTTGGAGAAAGAGCCAGTATGATAGGGTCAACATTAATCTTTGAGAAAGTGCCAGTATGATAGGGTCAACATTAAATCTTTGAGAAAAGTGCCAGTATGATAGGGTCAACATTAAATCTTTGAGAAAGTGCCAGTATGATAGGGTCAACTTTAAATCTTTGAGAAAGAGCCAGTATGATAGGGTCAACATTAAAATCTTTGGAGAAAGAGCCAGTATGATAGGGTCAACATTAAATCTTTGAGAAAGAGCCAGTATGATAGGGGCAACATTAAATCTTTGAGAAAGAGCCAGTATGATAGGATCAACGTTAAAATCTTGGAGAAAAGCCAGTATAATAGGGTCAACATTAAATCTTTGAGAAAAGTGCCAGTATGATAGGGTCAACATTAAATCTTTGAGAAAGAACCAGTATGATAGGATCAACATTAAATCTTTGGGAAAGAGCCAGTATGATAGGGTTAACATTAAATCTTTTGAGAAAGAGCCAGTATGATAGGGTCAACATTAAATCTTTGAGAAAGAGCCAGTATGATAGGGTCAACATTTAAATCTTTGAGAAAGTGCCAGTATGATAGGGTGTAACTTTAAATCTTGGAGAAAAAGCCAGTATGATAGGGGCAACATTTAATCTTTGAGAAAGAGCCAGTCTTGTGTATAATACCAGGCAGGATACATGTATGTTAACTAATAGCAGAGTTTGATTTGATATCTCACTGCAGCCTGACTTTACTTTAATTAATTAATTACTTCAATTAGTAATTCAATATTAAATTCTCTAAAATAAGTTGAAATATCAATAACATAGGCCTGGTGAAAGTTAAATATATCAGAAAAACTGAAAACTCTGAAATTAGTTTTATATAGAAATAAAGAGCCTTCAGGAGAAGAAAAAACCTGAACTTTAGGCAATAAGATATTTCAGAATTAATTCAGTACAACTTGGTTGCTCATGTATTCCGTACTAGTAGGACATAATAATATGGATATGGCTTTTAATAATAAATCAAAATATACCTTAACAAGACTATTAGATATTATATAAGAGGTGATGCAGAAAATGCTATGAGATATGTTAATGGTACCCGGCTTGATGACAGAATTATCAGAACTGATTGGGATGCTGGATTCAAGGAAGGGAGACAATATGGGAGAGGAAAAACTGGTGGTCAGGTCTGTATTATCTCCCTTGATTTTTAAATTGCATGACAAAAATCAAAACTTTGTTACAATATTTATTTTTAGTTTAATATTTGAAGATAATGTAGCTGTCCTAATCACTCTTGTGTTTAACTTCATCTGGCATTGATTTTATTCAGACAACATTATTCCTAGGCCTTTGATTTTTTTATTCAGACAGCATTATTCCCCCAAGGGTTTCAGTTTTTATTATGAAGTTTTGAAAAATTTTTTGAACGGGGGGGGGGGGAATGTGAGAATGGCAGCTCTCACTGAATACAAAATATTTCATGGATAAGATTACATAATAGAATCTGTTCTTATGTTATTGACCTTATTAAAGGTTACTTACTACATATATTATTAGTTTAGTATATTTAAGATTACAGTTTGAAGTAGATTGTGCAACATTGCATTTGCTTTTATTTCTGAAACCAGTATGTTTTATACAATATTTCAGGATTGCATTTTGAAAATATATATTAAATTGATAAAAAAATCCCAAAATGTTTTGACAAGCTTGAAGTGGATTCCTTTGTTTTCATCTTATTGTTAAATTGGTTTTATCAGTTTGTTCAACGAAAACTGCAAAATTTGCTATTTTTGATTATTTTTCCTCCGAGATTTAAACACATATTTGAAAGATAAGCTGAAAGATCTGCTTGAAAGATCTAGAATTTTAAAAAGATAGATTCAAGGTGTTTTCAAGGTGTTTATTGTTGGCATGGCAACAGCTCTAATCTAGTTTGTTTCTAACATTTTAATGGAATATTCTGGTTGGTGCAATGAGTTTCTTGTCAGCGATGTAATACAGTAAATTTGATAAGATATTCTTACTGATAAAAATCTTTTTTTCTTGTTTTGAATCATAATTTCTCGTATTTACTTTTTTATATAGAAATTTCAGCCCAACATATATCAGTAATTATACTGTTAAACATTTTGTAATTTGTAAAACTTAATCTCATTTGGTGGATATAATTTATATTTTAACAAGTTTGATAGTTAAAACTTCAAAAAACTTAATTTATTTCTGGTTGGTTGGTTGCATATAGGTTAAGTTAATTGGTTTGGTTGAGTTAGGTTTGGTCAGGTTAGGTTAAATTATGTCAGGTTTGTTTGGTTAGATTAGGTTAGTTGAGGTTAACTTTAGTTCATTGGGAATACTGGTTAATTTGTTAGTTTGTTTGTTAGACACTTACTTAGATACTTGGTTATTGATTTGTTGGTTATTGGTAATAAATTGATAAATTGCTTGTTCACATTAGCAGCCATTATCAGATTAAAGCAAGTATCCCAATTAATAAATAAGTTGTTCTTATTTAAATAACAATTATGTTATCATTTTCTCTACAGGTGAGAGATGAATATCGTACAGACTTTGATGAAGGTCGTGGCGGCTATGGAAAAATTGTTTCTAATAAAATACGACCAAGAGATTCTTTGTGACAGACTGAGGAAGGGACAAAAACTTGAATATTAGTTTGTTTTGTTATAATAGACTGGTTATGACCACTGGAAATACAGACTGGTTTAAATTTATACAAAATTTAGTTAATTCTACTGGAGTACACTAAAAATGCTAAGCGGATAAAGATCTTGGATGTATTGACAGAGAAGTTGAAATGATAAAAGGAATCTAGTTGTGTGTGTTAACCATTCTGCTTTGTAAATTTATCTCAAATTAATGTCTATTATGCCCTTAGGAGGTACAACATGTTGAATGAATGTAAAAAATGTAATTTAACTTTTATCTTTTCTTTTCTTTAAAAATAATGAACCCCAATTTCTTATCATTTGAAGTTTATGTAGTATTTAGATATTTTCATGCATTAATCATCATCTTATACAAGGGTGATTAATATACCGGTACTGATAATTTAGTGCATTAAATCTGTCTTATTAAGGTTGTTGTTCAGATTTTTAAAAATTTACTCATGAAGATGTAAGCAATTTACTTTTTTAGCATCGGAAATAATAAATCAATTGCTTTGGTAATGCACTCAGATCATAATTTTTATATTTTCAATTTTAATATCTATAATTCTGACAATGAATTATTATAAAAACTTGAATATTTGTCAAACTACATTCTTCAATGTTGTCATTAAACTGTTGTGGTGTAAATGAATAATTTCATGTCTGTTGTTATTATGTTGTATAATTTTTTCTCTCTGAAAATTGTGAAATAGTTTGTAATTAGTTTGTGTGTGACTTCTAAGTTCTTGTACATGCGTTAACTCACAACCTGCCAAATTTCTTTAATGGACTTTTTAGAACTGTCAATTATCAGTTAAGGGAACATGAAGATAGAAATTTAAAGATTTGTTAGTAAGATTGTACGGATATGCCCGCGGTTGTCTTGGTTATTCTGGTGCTGAAAAACTAATCACTTTCAGTTCCTGCAGGTAAATGGTTCATGTGCTGAGTTGAAATTTGATTATAAAAATTATAATGTAATAATGTGGTCCATGTCTTGAGTTGAGTTGAGTTGAAATAATGGTGTTACCATTTTATCATGTAATTACAAGCATTTGTGTCATTTGCCACTTTAGATGGCATAATGTTTTATTATTACTCATATGTTTCTACATATTAAAGTTAATTGGTCTATAATGGAAGATCTGTAATAGCAGAATTAACTATATTATGATAGTATGATGTTGTTGGTAAGTGTTAGATACATGATCTGTTATGACATCAATATGTCATGTATAGCAGATAATAAAGTGTTTATAGAACAAAATATTATTATTCATCATATAAATGTTCATACTACATCACTTTAGAACTGTATCAACATTTTTACTTCCCCGAAATATTTCATAAGATTAAACCAAATTATACATTCCTATTGTTTTTATCAAAATTTTAAATACTAATAAAAAATGTGTCCATTATAGACCAATCCACTTTAAAGAAAATGCTTTTTGCTATTCATTCCTTAATGTTTAAATAGCTGTCTAGCATTTTAAATTTTGAAGTTCCTCTGATAAACATTAAAAACAAATTCAAGTATTTTATACAAAAAATAGCCCATTAAATGTTGAAATATTTGATACTTTATTTGCATTTTTAGCTCGACTATTCGAAGAATATGAGAGCTATTGTAGTCGCCCTGGCGTCGTCGTCAGCGTCCGCGTCGGCGTCTGCGTTGGTTAAAGTTTTTTGTAAAGTCAAATATCTCAATTATTACTTGAGATATTCAATTGAAACTTACAATACTTATCTATAGTAACAAGGTACATCAGATTGACAAGTTGGATAACTCTGCCTACAATATTTACAGAATTATGCCCCTTTTTAACTTAGAAATTTTGGTTAAAGTTTTTTATAAAGTCAAATATCTCAATTATTGCTTGAGATATTCAATTGAAACTTACAATACTTATTTATAGTAACAAGGTACATCAGATTGACAAGTTGGATAACTCTGCCTACAATATTTACAGAATAATGCCCCTTTTAACTTAGAAATTTTGGTTAAAGTTTTTTGTAAAGTCAAATATCTCAATTATTGCTTGAGATATACAATTGAAACTTACAATACTTATTTATAGTAACAATGTACATCAGATTGACAAGTTGGATAACTCTGCCTACCATATTGACAGAATTATGCCCCTTTGGAACTTAGAAATTTTGGTTAAAGTTTTTTGTAAAGTCAAATATCTCAATTATTGCTTGAGATAATCAATTGAAATTTAAAATACTTATTTATAGTAACAATGTACATCAGTTTGCAAAATTTCATAACTCTGTCTGCAATATTTGCAGAATTATTTACCCCTTTGAAACTTAGAAATTTTGGTTAAAGGTTAACGGTCTTCAAAGATATTTACTTGAAACTTTACACATGCACTTAGGGTCATAATTGGAGGGTCATAATTGTATGTCACTGACCAAGTTCCATAACTATCTTGCATTAAGGCTGATTCATATCCCCTTTTCTACTTAGTCTCTTGGTTAATGTTTACATGCAAGTTTTACATATCTCAATAACTATTAAAGATATTTATTTAAAACTTCACATATGCATTTAGGGTCATAATTGTAGGTCACTGACAAAGATCCATAATTCTATCTTGCATTTAGGCTGATTTTTCTCCCCTTTTTCAACTTAGAAATTCATGGTAAAGTTTTGCTTGTAAGCTGTTATCTCAATAACTACTGAAGGGTTTGTGCCTTTTTTTGGACAATTTTATGCATTCATAATAATAAAGTAGTGATTTACTTGATAAAACATCTTAATAACAAGCCTTTGTACCTTTTCTGTCAAATTTATGTATTCATAGGTAATAAGTATTATTATACTCAATAAAAAACCCTTGTGACATTACCTTCCGAATAGTCAAGCCAATTCTGTATAATTAGACTCTCTCTAAGGCCTATAACATGAATTTATAAAAAAAAATTAGCCCTTTTGTGAACTTAAAAAATTTAACAATATCAAGGCTCTTTTACTATCAAGCACTTAGAATAGTCGAGCATGCTGTCCTACAGACAGCTCTTGTTTAATCAAATTCTTCTCTGTTTAAAATGTTATGATTGTTATTTTTAAGGGGAAGTACAGACTTGTTTGTTTTTAAAAATTGCATATAAAAACTGTGAAAAGTGTTTGTCACTACTAAAATTTATGTTAAAATGTAGCAAAACAGTTTTGCATGGGGATTTTAAGTTAAGGTAATTTGTAGAAAATATTCTTCCTTAATGTTTAAATAGCTGTCTAGCATTTTAAGTTAAGTTAAGGTAATTTGTAGAAAATTTTCTGATAATTTTCTTACTGGGTAACATGTTTATATATTTTACACAATTTAGTTCAACTGTCAAGGTTTGATGAAATTACAACTATCTCTGCTAAATTTATCTACTCATTGTACTTGTCAATATTTTAAAATTTGGAATTGTTCATTATAAATGTGGGGGTCTGATTCAAGTTTATTCAATACATGAATATTACATAGGGTGAACAGGCTCTATACAGGTGGCATAGTTTTATTGTTATTACAACTTACACTTAAATAGTTAACTTCTAACAACTTACACGAAAATAGTTAACCTTTAACTTTGTTGAATATATTACATGGATTTGTCCTGCTTTGAATTTAAAACAATCCATTTCAAGTTTAAGGGATTTCACTATTGAAATACAAACATTGATCTACCAACATTAAATAGAAAAAAAATGAGCTACCAACAGTATAGGACTTGGTCATACAGCCTGGTATGGCTCTATACTGGTGATTAAAGCTAATCACTTTCAGTTAGGTCAAAGTTTTTTATGTGAAGATGTTAAAATTTACTAAATGACAAAAATATCTTTTACTTATTTTGTTATTATGTTTAATTCAAACAATTAGCAAGTTGCATACAAAAATATAATGTTCTAGTGTACAGTTTCTTCTTCATTACATTACAAGACATGTATAAATATCTCAGTCATCATTTTTATATAAACATAATTATATTTTTTATGTTTCATCAATCATTTTCAGTCCATATAAATTTTGTTCATGTCTTTGTATATATTTAAGAAATAAATTTTGGACAAATTTTGGTTCTCTTGACTTGCATGTTAATATACCAAACATTGTTTATACACCTTAAACAACCTCCAAATTTGTGGGAAAAAACCTTAAAGCAAAGGCTGGATGGTCCCCAAACTCGATTACAACATCAATGGAAGTCATTACTTTTAAATTTGTCAATTTAAAAACAAAAATGCCTGAATTTTAGGTGTCTAACTCGCAGGAATTTTTTAAAAGAAACTTGTCTTGAACCATATTCAAGCTTGCGTGCTAAATCCTTTGTTGTGACGCCACTACTACGTCTTCTATCTGTCTGTCCATCACAAAACATGTACAGACTATTCCTCAAAAACTACTAGTGCAATTTCATCCATACAGGAATAATCAGTACGAAGTCTAGTTGTGATTTTAATGATGTTTTAAAAGTTTTTCTGGACTACTTGTCTTAAACCACTGAAGCAATTTCAATGAAACTTTACAGGATTGCGCATATTAAACGAGTTATGGTCCTTGAATAAAAAAGGTGATTTTTTTGTGTTCCCAGCTACACAAAAGCTTGTCTGGACTACTTCTCAGAAACTGCTGTGGCAATTTCATCAATCAGTACCAAGTCTAGTTGTGCATATCATGGTTTATATGGTTCAATAATTTTTGTTGAAGTTATGGCCCTTTAATTGTTTTTACAACCCCGCACAATGAAGTTGTAAGAGGGGTTTACTGGAATCAGATTGTCTGTCCGGCCGTCGCTTCATCTGGCCGTCCGGCCGTCCGTCGGTTTTTTCCTTGTCCGCCCAATAACTTAATATTCCTTTGACCCACAGTCTTCATATTTGGAAGTTAGATTGGTCATGAATAGTAGATGATCCCTATTGATTTTGAGGTCACTGAGTCAAAGGTCAAGGTCACAGGGGCCTTGACTCCAAAAAGCGTGTCCGCCCAATAACTTAAGATTTCTTTGACCCCCAGTCTTCATATTTGGCATGGATGTTAGTCATGATGAGTAGATGACCCCTATTGATTTTGAGGTCACTGGGTCAAAGGTCATGGTCACAGAGGCCTTGACTTCAAACAGCTTGTCCGCCCAATAACTTAAGATTCCTTTGACCCATAGTCTTCATATTTGGCTTGGAGGCTAGTCATGATGAGTAGATGATCCCTAGTGATTTTGAGGTCACTGGGTCCAAGGTCACACAGGCCTTGACTTCAAAAACCTTGTCCGCCCAATAACTTAAGATTCCTTTGATCCACAGTCTTCATATTTGGTATTTAGATTGTCCATGGATAGTAGATGATCCCTATTGATTTTGAGGTCACCGGGTCAAAGGTCAAGGTCACAGGGGCCTTTACTAAAAAAACTTGTCGCCCAATAACTTAAGATTCCTTTCACCAGAAGTCTTCATATTTGGTATGGAGGTTAGAAATGATCAGTCGATGACCCCTATTGATGTTGAGGTCACTGGGTCAAAGGTCACAGGGACTTTGACTTCAAAAGGTTTGTCCGCCCAATCATTTAAGAAACCTTTGACCCACAGTCTTCATATCTGGCATGGAGGTCGAGCATGACCATTTGGTGACCCCTATTGATTTTAAGTCACTGGGTCAAAGGTCAAGGTCACAGGGGCCTCGACTAAAAATGCTTGTCCGCTCAATTGCTTAAGAATGCTTTGGTCAACAGTCTAGAAGACATATTTGGTATTAAGGTTGTTTATGACTAGTAGATGACCCCTTGTGATTTTTAGGTAACTGTCAAAGGTCAAGGTCACAGGGATTTTACTATAATAAGATTGTCTGCTCAAATGCTTAAGAATGCCTGTCCGCAGTGTATTTATTTTGACATTTTCACATTTGAAGTATGTAGAATACATAACTTAGCAATGCACTGGTTTAGTAACCTTTAGATTTGGCAGGTACTTTGTCCTTGAGCTCTAAATGGCCACTGTTAATTCTGTCAAAGTGGTATGCGGGGGTATTCACGCCATGACAGTGGCAGTTCTAGTTATTTTTAAAAATTGTCTGGACTACTCCTCTTATACCACTACTGGAATTTCAATGAAACTTTACAGGATTAATGGTAGGTCTTGTACTTGCGCATATTACATGGGTTTTCCGGTTGAATGATTTTTGGCTGAGTTATGGCCCTTGAAATAAAGTTTGTCTGGACTACTCCTCTTTTACCAATTATTTCAATGAAACTTCACAGGATTTATTCGTAGCTCTAGAACTTGTGCATAATACACAAGTTTTTTGTTTGAATGTTTTTTGTTAAGTTATGGCCCTTGAAAAAAAAGGATTTTTATTGTGTTGCCAGTTACACAGAAGTATGTCTGGACTTCTCCTCTGAAATTACAGGTGCAATTTCATCAAAACATTAAAGGAATGATCAATACCATGTCTAGTTGTGCATCTCATCAACATTTTTCGTTCATTGTTTTTTTTTGTCAAAGTTATGGCCCTTTAATGATTTTAATTTGTCCAGCCTACTCTAATACCACTAATGGAATTTCAATGCAACTTTACAGGATTGATAAGTAGCTCAAGTTATTTTCTATATTACATTTAATAATTTTGGTCAAGTTATGGCTATGATCACTGATGTCTTGTATCCCTAACCCTCATTTATTGATGAAGAGCTTTAAAGAGCCTCTTCAATTATTTTAGCTGTGAGGGGGTATCCAGTAAATAAATAGGGGGAAGTTTGTGAATGGTCAAATGTAAAACAAAATATCTGTCCTGTTTTCAGCCCTTTCGATGTCAAACAGATTAATTTAACAACCGCCCCCGAAAAACAAAACATAAAAACATTTAGGCTGATGTTTTACTTTTTATCATCTTTTTTTCTTTTTTTATCTTGCAATATGATACACTTTACAAGCCAAAAAAATCAACTATTATAAAAAATATATACCTGAAAATTCCATAATATCTATCTGTATGTAGTCCTTGTAGTTTTATTTCCAATATATGAATAAGATGAATGATATTCTTCGAGATTTAAATAATAAATAGCAATACTAAGAATGAAGTAGCCAGCCCCAATTCTGTTTATGTTTTATTGATGTGTTTATGATATCAATGCCCATTGAGATATAAAATGTTTATTAAAACTAATTCTCAAAATCTAATGTAATTATCAAAAGTGAAAGTGAATTTCAAGTGCCTGGTTTTATTATTTAAATCTCAAAGAATATCATTTATCGTATTCATATTCAATTACAAGAACAACAGAGTGAATATTTTTTATTCAATTTAAGAAATGAAAAATTGTAGATCGTAAAGGCACATTAAGTATCAGAAATGAAAATTTGTTCCCCTTCTTTAGAAAGGTAACAAAAGTGATGTTTCAAAAATTTTAGAGCTTAGATCATATTAGATTCTTATTACCCAAAGAAAGATGATTCGTCATTAATTAGCAAAATAAATATGTAGTTTTTTGACTTCCACAGCAGCCAGTGACTTTCTCTTGTGACTATAGAGACTTCAATAGCAACCAGTGACTTCACATTCCATTCACTGACTTTTCGTTGAAACAATTGACTTTCCATAGCAACCCTTGACTTCTAAAGCAAGCATTGACTTTCCATAGAAAGAGAGACCTTCATAGCAACCAATGATTTTCCTTTGCAACCTTTGACTTTCATAGCAACCATTTACTTTCCACAGCAACCATTGTCCTCCATAGCAACCATGTGTGTTTAGTCTATGCTTAATGAGGGTTCATCCGCCCGTAAAGGCACAAAATGCAGCTTTCGCTGTTGATTACAGATCCCAGACATGTCACCAGTAATGCCCTTAAAGAGTCAATTTTGAAGCAAAAAATGGTGATAATTTACCTCCATGCAACGAAGTATTAGCCAAAGATATGAATTTTGAGCCAAAAGTCACTATGAGAACCTAAATGTACAGAAATCAAGACAATAATGAAAGGAGGTAGCCCTTACAAGGGCTCTTGGTTCCAAGCAAAGGGCCTGTCTTACAAGCCGTTATTCGTGAAAGGGGCTCACGTTCCCTAGTACCCCATCCTCGTCGACTCAAAGCCTACTTTGCAAGGCCACTGCCCTCGGCTTTAGTCAGGACACCGACAGTTAACTTCATGCAAGCTAAGTCGTACCGCCTTAGACGTTTCTCCGAGCTGTAGAAAACATGTAAACTTGCCGTCTAACAAGTAGCATTGGTTCTTCAATCATCTGGCGATGCTCTGTGCCTTCTCAACGATGTACACGTACCGAGGGGAAGAGAGAAGCCAGTGACTTCTATTGCAACCACTGAATTTTCATAGCAACCGCTGACTTCCATAGGAACCAGTGATTTTCATAGCAGCAAATATCTCCCGAGGCAACCACTGACTTTCTATATTAACATGTGACTTCGATAGCAACAAGTGACTTTCAATAGCATTCAGTGACTTTCCATAGCAACCAGTGACTTCCAAAGCAACCAGTGACTTCTATAACAACCAGTGACTTCTATTTTAACCATTAAGAAAGTGGGAGCATACTGTGATTGGTCCGGCTTTCATGTATGTATGTCACTTTTCAATTGTCAAATAAATGAATTTACAAGAAATATGCTGTTTATGTTACTTTATACAGACATTGACCATATCCCTTTTGATTTGGAGTTCAAGGGGTAAGACATTTCTGACCAGTGACTACAGAATGCTTTGACCTGCAGCCCTAAGATAGGGTGTAGAGGTTAGTCATGACTGGTAGATGTTTCATTTTGATATTTTGGTCAAAGGTCAAGAACACTGATCTTTACAATTAAAATCTTGTCCGGATCGTAACTTGAAGGCCTTGGTCTACAGTCCTTAACTTTAGATGTAGATGTTGGTCATAAATTGAAAATGATATTAAGGGCAATACGTCAAAGGTCAAGATCATCGTGGCCTTGACAACTAGAATCTTGTTTGATCAATAACTAGGCAATGCTTTGGCCTACAGACCTAAAAAGTAGTGTTGACGTTGGTCGTGACTAGTATAGGACCCCAATTTACTTTGAGTTCATTAAGCAAAAGGTCAATGT